CTGTTTACTCTAAAAGTCTAATAAGATGGCTAAACAAATTTAAAAAGCAAATAGGTTGACAGCAATCACCGGTAAGACATGTTTACGCTAGCAACCATGCACCCTTTTTACAACTTCTCTACTTTTGATCGACTTTAACCTCGTCTGCATGGAGTATTTTAATTTCTTAACTGATTTGGTTACAGGATAGTATCCGAAATCTTACCTTGCAAGGGATCGACTTCAAGGAACAAGCTCGCAATCCAATGCATATCTTGTCAGTTATAGTGACTTCCAAAGCTGCAATTAGTTTTCAAACACAGAATCAATGATCTGATGAATATATCAGTCAATTAATTTGTAATAAGCCGTAGTGATGTGATGCGTATGACCACTTACAAGAATTTTTTTATTAAAACATTACTGTAGACTTGTAGTGGAGTGTTACTTGCGATCTAACGTAGTACAAAAGTATTAACGATTCAAGGAGACTCACGAAGGAAACACCTTGCTCTTGGCATTATTTTCCGTACAGGAGATAATAATACTTGTACAGGGAAATGTGTTGAATAGCACTTAAAAGAACTTTTAAGTAATCGAAAAATTTCAAGTTAACGTAACTCGTATATTACGCGTTATAGGTCCTAATCTTGTTAAAAGCCATTGATTCAGCCAACAGAGCTTGGGCCGGACCACCTAGCTGTGAAAACAGGCTGAAAATTGAGTCTACCGCGCGTCTTATATTTTCCACTCCCCAATCTTCCCACACGCAGCTATATGTGCGCCAATGCCAAAAATCTCTGCGGAGGCGAGCAAGTCCCTGGTCCGACTTAATAGGCTTGCTAGTTCGAAACTTTTGGTGATGATTAAAGCATAGCTTGAAATCAGTGCAATACATACAATAACGAGAAGCAATTTCCAGTAACGAGTAGTGTAACTGATAGCTGTAACTGGCAAAAATACAGCAGGAAAATCAGAAAAAAAAACCAAGAAATTCAACATTTACCGTCTTGGTAATACTTACTGATTGCATTTAGCTTCGAATTTTCCAGCATGAATTCACGACCTACAGGTAGAATTAAGTAAAACTGGGTTTAGCATATTGATATGCTAATGAATGGTTCAGAACACACAGGAAAAGAACCAAAACTGTACTGTTTCTATTATTTTATGATCTTTTTAGCTTACAAGCGAGGGTTCTTTAGAGGATATTTCAGTTGAACCACTCAGCAAAACTAAACAGAACGAAACCTTTATTGACACCTTAGAAAGGTGGTCATAGCGTAACTTGCATAAAACAAACTGCTCAACGACGGCCGTAGAGATGATAATAAACGGCTTTGAAAAAGATGTGATCTTGTCGCATCAACTATGCTAACCTTCGTGCACATATTCCTGCAAACCTCTCTACACACACTTTGTAATTCTTTTTATAGAGATGACGCATGATAAATAGAGGCCGTGTTTCTCTCATAACCCCAATTTTTAAATGGACATTTACAATACCTTGTACAAGAAACTCGCCCGCCTTGTTCCACAGAGGTGCAAGTTTCTGTTTCATCGTGAAAGAGAAGCAAAACTGGAACAGGCTCTTTGTTAGACCCACTTGCTCCGTGCTCTGTTAATATAAGAGAAGCACATCTGTTATACATCACTTGAAACTATAACGTCTCAAGCGTAGAAATGAAAGTTGCAAAGAAGCCAAGCTTGTTTGAAGACTAAGGATTACCCCGGGGAGAGTCCCATACAAAAAGGACGGGGGTGCTCGTCGGAAATTTTGAAAAGAACCTCTAACAGGTAAACAAGATCCTGCTTTGTGGGCGTGGCTTGAACTTTTTTTCACTCCTATGAGGTACCAATTCTAAACCAACA